AAGGGGCTACAAGTGAGCAGGAGAGGGACTTTTGACAAGTGCATGGAGTGACAAGATATGGAACTGCTTCAAACCAAGAAAGGGTAAGTTTAGATTAGATATTAGGAAGAAATGTTTCATCATTGGGTGGTGAGGCTCTGGCACAGGTTGTCCAGGGAAGCTGTGGCTGCCCCATCCCTGGAAGTGTCCAAGGCCAGGCTAGACAAGGCTTGGAGCAACCCGTGCCAGTGGGAGATGTCTCTGCCCAAGGCAGGAGGGCTGGAACTGGATGATCTTTAAGGCCTCTTCCCGTCCAAACCATTCTATGACTTCATGAATAAGGATGATTTTTATAATTTCATTTCCATCCCTGAATGTCAACCAACTCAAACAGAATCGGATCTGTTTAGTGCAAGCTGAAATGCGACTTTGACCGCACGTCATGAACTGATGGAAAGTTTTGCTTTCCCACCCTGTTCTCTATGGCTGAGGGTGCAGAGCACACAGTAGAAGCTTCCAAGGCATCAATATTTAAGAGAGGAAACCCCCATGTGTTTCAATAACCCACAGCTACAAAACTTCAGTCAAAATGGCAAGTTCTGTGATCCTTAATTGACCACGGCAGATTTGGAAAGCGTTACAACAGTCAGACTGAACTAAAAAAGTTCAGCAATCATTTTTGTTCTAGCTAATATTTCAATACAGAGGAAAAACTTGAGAGCTCTTCCATTTACAACATCTAACAAGTTTTGGTTATGGGCAACTAAACTATTGATTTCTACTCTGGAATACTCCATAATAATGTCTTTAAATATTCAATAAACAGTAAAGTTTAATTTAAAATTATCATTTCTACATAAGTAATGGTGCACAAAACGTAATGTTATAAAGAATTAACTGTCTATATGTATTCATAGTCAGGCAGTAGGTGAAAAAGTAAGTAAAGAATGTTCAGCAATGTGTACAGACAGGTCCCTGATCATCTTAGTCCTTCTATTATGTGACACAATGAGGTCTTCAGGCTTCAAAAGTCTCCATTAAATCCTTTAGAAGAATGGCCTGGGCTCCCCAAATCAGTCTGAGACAACCCTGAGTTGGGGCATGTATCAACCTAATCAATATATTTTCCATTTGGTGTGCCCACAGGACATCATCAGAAATAGAATTGTGCATTAGAGGTTTGAGGTTAGACAGTCTTAGGTTTCTTCCCTCCTTCATCTCACCATAGAAATCTCAAAAAACCTGAGTAGAGGGGAAGGGAGGGAGTTGCTCACTTTGAATCATTCGTTACCATAAACCTGATGACTTGGATTCCAGTTTGGGACAAGTGTGTCATGAGACCTGTTGAAAAAAGGTCTGTTTCAAATAGACACACACCCATCTGGATGGTCCTTCTGGTTTTGTCTTCATTTTAGGTTTGGTTTGGCTCTCCTGGCGCTTGTTATTTCACTTTTTAAAAAAAGCTGCCAAATGTGGACAGTGGGTGTGTCTTGTTGACATCTTGCGGTCTGCACAATATGTCCATTTTGCTGATTGTCAGGGCAATATGATTAAGACCTTAAAATCAAGGGAGATTTTAGCCTGTGACATGTGTTGAACAGCAGCAGTGTTTGTTGAACAGCAGCAATTAAGCCTCATTTCAACAGTCAAGGATGACCACCTCCATCACTCTTCTCAACCACCCTCCCTCAGTCCCCAGCTGTATCATTTGTCTGGGTCCTCCTTCACCCACCAGGATTAGGCACAGCTCCAGCCAGAGCAATACCAGACTGAGCTAAATCCAAGGTCCTTCCAGCCCAGTACCCTGTGTCCAGCCATGGCCAGGAAACAGCTGTTTAGGAACAGAAACAAGGCAAGAGAATTATGCTCCTTGCGGTACAGCCTCCAAGTAATCAGCAGTTTAAGGAAATATTTCCTGATTTCCAGAAGTAGACTGTTCCCACAAGATTATGTGCATCCAAGGCTTGGTGTTCCCTCCCAGCCAACTGGCAGAGGTTGGATCTTCAATCTGTCAACCCCAAAACACTGCAAAATAGGCCAAATTCTCTGCCAATAAAAAAATCAGTGACATTTCACCAGCGTGAAAAATATTAACATTATACGAGTTCTTTGGAGTCCTGTCTGAAAATGAAAGCATTCTAGGCCCCAGTTCTCATGTAGACAGAGGATCTTTAAATCATAATAGCAATAAGGAAAAGATCAGAAGCGACCCTGAATTTTATTTGGCTGCCCCTGAGGAGCCTTAGCCCAAGTTTGAGAGAGGTTTTTTTATGAATTTAGGAGCTAATAGATAACCCCTGAACATTAATCTCCTTTTAAGCACCACACATTGGACACAGTACTAAGAAAACCAAGGTTCAGATGTGAATATATGAAAGAAATTAAATTAAAGTGTTGCAACTAACTATCCACAAGGCTAAAGTGATTTACAGCAGCCATAAATACAGCCAAGCACTGATATGAAGAGTAGCACACATAGTAAAATGATATGGTGTGGTATAATATTTATTAATCTTTTCAAGAATTATTTCAGTATAAATGACTTCGATGGCTCAGAAAATCCCTGCCAAAACAGTGTAACATATATCACACACCACACAGAGAGAAAGGGACCAAGGTATGGGATACTCTTATTAAAATCACAGAATAATTTAAGTAAGGAGGGACCTCTGGAAGTCATCTACTCCAACATCCAGTTCAAAGCAGGTGTAATTAGACCAGGCTGCTCAGGGACATGTCTAGTTGAGTCTTGAACATTTCCAAGGCCAGAAATTCCACAAAATTTAAGTAATGATGTTAGAAAAATAATTTCATTTAAGTTGCAACTGTCAAACACCATTATTCCTCCATTACAGCCTGCATATTGCATTTACTGCTTCCCACCATTTCTGTTTCTTATTGCTGTTCTGCTGAGACTCCAGAAAATTATTTGAAGAAGAAATTCTTTGCAGAGGCCTCCCTCAGCTTCTGGAGCTGATATGACAGGGAAAAAGACAGGTTCCTACCTCAGAAAATTATCACTTGAGCCAAAACATTTGTTAGAAAAACATAAAATGAGACGGTAAGTGTATATACATTTCTAGGAAAGGATTCAGAACTCCCTAATGGATTGCAGGCTTTGGGCACTGTCACTCTGGAGGGCACGGGAAGAGGCAGGCAACAGCTACAAGGCAGCCTGAAACTGCACTCCAGCCTGGCTCACACCCCACACCAGAAGCTCCCAGACCTCTACTGAGATGCTGTTGTTGGACAATCCCTCCTTTGTCTTCACATAGATCCAGCGATTTGCAGGCAGAAACGATCTCCTGCTCCGATCAGAGGTTTGTGGGACACCATCCTAACAGACCATGTTTTTGTGATAAAAGCAAAACCAAAACACCAAAAAAAGTCCATCAAAAAGCCTGGAGTTCAGGAGTGGCCAGGATAAGCCACAAAGCGATACACTTTGAACAATAAACAGCTTTGGGACACACGTACACACTGCTCAGTGTCCCTGCTGATCCACAAAGGAACAGAATAACTCTAAAAAGTTCTAGGTTGGATAAATGATTTCTGTCCCCCCTGTCCAGCCCGAACCATAATCCGTTTCAAAGCAATAAATTGCATCAGGCATCACTCAGAGCAGGCAAACCAGGAATTTCTATTGTCCTAGACATTAAACAGCACAACATAATTCCAAACAATCCTCGGACTGTGCTCCTCATCACCCTGCAAGCTCCATTGGTTGGGAGGGATAAATACCAGTGGACAACAGCAATTAATGGAACAAAGGGAAGGATGATCCTATAGCTTTAAAATGCCTCTCCCATTTTCCTTAAAATCCCACCTTTCACTCTTATAATGAAGGGAAGGATATCTATGAAGCAGAAGCCAAAAATTAATTTAGCAACGTATTAAAGAGTTGCAACAAAAATTAGATGGAGGAAACACATCCTCAGCTCAGGATGTGAAAGGTCAGGCAGGATTCTGGTGCTTTCCCAAGCATGGAAACAGGGAAGGCAACTCAGTTCATCAGTGCTACAGCCACCACCATCACAAATTTGATTATGCAATTTTTTCCAGTTTCTTGTTTCAGGTCAAGTTTCTTAACATATGCCCCAAAGTCTTGCTCAGGTCACACATTTCACAGAATATCATGAGCTGGAAGAGACTCCCAAGGATCCTTGAGTCCAGCTCTTAAGAGAATAGCTTATACAGGAATCAAACAGATGGAATCCTCAGTGATCGGAGAGAAGGGACTTGTGCAAGGCAAAAGAAGAGTTTTTGTGGAATAATAATCCGCTAGCCATCACTTTGCACGTGGTGATGACAAGCCACAGTCAATGCTCCAGGAATTAAGTGTATCTTAATTAACCTGAGTAACTAAAGAAAAATGGAGATTTACATCCTAGAACAAAGGATTTCAAGCCTTTCTTTCTGGTCACTAACAACAGCATGTACCAACATCTGTCTTAATGCTTCAAAGTGCAACAGAAATGAAGGTTAGGCATTCGACACTTGCAAACTCATCTGGACCAATAAATATCTGCAGATTTTGGTGAACCTGCTTAAAAAGCATGTCTAAGTGATGTCACCCTTTCCCTGAACCTGCAATATCCCGGGATTTACAACATCCTCCTTGTTCTGGAATCAAAGCACCACTGCTTGTTCTGATAAAAGCTTTAACTTCACAGACATTACCCCAACAACATGCCATCAGTTTAACAAAAGGCTCAAATATCAGACTGCATCACAAGACTCAGCCTCATGTTTCCTTCCTGCTCAGCTGCACGGAGCACTCGCTAGTGAGCCACAGGCAGAGGGCACACAGAGCCACCCACAGCAGGCTGGCAGACTTACCACAGCTCTGCAGGGGTTATTGATGATTATTTATGCACCTGCTTGTATACATGTAGATAAAATAAAGCCATCCAGTGCCCATCATCCAAGGATATTGCAGACTGTGATACCATCCCAAACAAGTCTTGGGGCTTTAAGAGCCAATGCAGGCCCCCTAAGACTCACTCACTATTCTGAATTACCTGTTAATGCCGCATCACTTTCAGGAGCTGAAGTAGATCTCATCTGAGAGCCATTTGTGGACAGGTAACAGCAAATGGGCTGATCAAGACACCAGACTTTCAAAGGAGAATTTTCCTGAAGAAAAAGCAGCCTCTGATCTCTCACTCAGCCCCAGTCAGCAGGGTTTGGTTTCTCTCCTTGCTGCTATCTTCCAGCTGCACCAGGCAGCGTTTGCCAGGCCTCATTCCTCTGAAGACTCACTGGACAACCAGGGCTATAACCACATTGCCAAGTCTTTCATTCTTACTCCTTGCTCTCAGCAGTCTGCCATTTTCCAAGGGGAAAAAAGTTCTGACATATCAGGAAACTTCGTGCAGAGCTGAACTCCAGTCCTCACTGCTTCCCCACACTCTTTCCTCTTCCTCGGGAGGCACCTTCACAGCAGCAGCTTTCATCCAGGCAGTATTCCTCAGTTTAACATCATCACCCTATAAAAAGGCCTCTACCTCAAGCTCAGAAGTGCTCCAGCTCACTCACAGAGCAGTATATTCCCAATTCAGCCCTTCCTCAGCTTACAGCTCTCCATAAAAGCAGCATCAGCACACTCCTTACACATCAGCCTTTCCCTACAAGGCCAGCTCCTTCCTTGCTACTAAACCAAGTGCAGGTGTGGCCAACTGAGTAGGGCTGGCCACCTTTAGAAGGTGCAAACACCTCCCACGTCCTACCAGGGACTAGAGGGGATTTGCTTTCAGACTGCTCTAAAATAGCTGCAATAAGGAGAAGGGGGATAAAAAGTGTATTGGGGTATGTTTTAGGCAACCTTCTGATTCACAAGAATATTCTTAGAATATTTTTAGAATATTCTTTATTTGAAATTGAAAAGCTCCTTTATTTAAGAGCAGCAAACAATCAAGAACAAACATAAACAGCTGAAGGAAAATTAGGTAGTGATGAACAAGGTGTTTTTAATTATGTGGGACTGGGCTGAAGTAGACTGGTTTAGCACTTAATAAAGGAGTATCTTCCTCCCCTTGCAATGTGAACTGTTAATACAGCATTTGCAGATGAGATGGAGAAATCAAGTGTTCCCTATTTACTGCACCAAGAGGTTTGATGGTGGCATTGGAGCAGGCCATGTACCCCAGGTCTGGGCTGCCAGTGCTGCTCATCAGCCTTCTCATGGGCTCTGTACTCTCAGAGCCCCAGACAGTGACAGTAAGGAATTGCTGAAGCCATTCTGCCTCTTTCTAGGATCAGTGTTCAGTGTTTGATCACACTGAAAAGGTGTGGAAAAGGTTTTGTCACTCACAGAGTTCTTGCCCACTTGAGAGGGGTGGCACAGTCATTTCAGGCTGACCTAAAGTCTCTTCCCAGCTGTCAGATGCAGTCAAACTCCAAAACTGCACCGCCCATCCCACTCAACAGCAGCCTGATAAGTGAAGGGAATCCTTGCGATTTTAAAGGATTAATTTCCACTGGAAGGTAAAACAGGGAGGCAGAATTTAATTATGGCAGTCAAAACTAACTTAACTGGAGCTGATAGAAGTCTTCTCATTGACTTCACTTGGGAAAATCAGGGTCATCCTTAGATGAATTCCTTGTTTTCCCTTCAGATCCATTGGCCGCCTTACAACATTAGAGTCACTTGTGTGCCAATATCTTCACCTCTGCAAGATCAATTCATGCTGCCATGAAGGAAATGGAAATTATGCAAAGTGACAGAAGAAACTGGACTTTCTGCATGATCCATAACACAAATCCTCTCTGTAGCATTCTGTCCTTTCTATGGGTGAGAACAGGCTTTCTCCTATAGACGCTTTTTCTCAAAAAGTAGCTCAGACTGGCTGATCAGTGTCTAAAGCAGGACAAAATCCTGTGCTTATCTGCATGACTTTTAAAACCCAGGCTTTCATGGGTTGTGGCAACACAAATGCTACCTTGTGAATACCATCATCCTAAACCCAAGAAAGGAAAACATTTAAGATTTTCAGTTTGCACAAACAACCTTCCGTCATCCTGGCAACTTCATTCCATCTGGAACATCCTGTCTTCATATTTCAGAAAATACAGAATGAGAGAGGACAGGAAATATTAAGCGTTCACGAATGAATTTTTGAAAGTTCTTTGCGTCAGAATGGAAATAGTTTTTCTTTCCACTCCTTTTTGCCCCCTCTACCACCGCATGCTACAGTATTTTCCATCTCATTGCATTTTGTATTTGACCTCTTGGTGAAAGTCAGGAAACATCATCCACCTAATTGTGAGCACCTGCAGAGCTGCAGGTGTGAGGGGAAACACCTCATTGAGTGGGTCAGGGAACTCTCTGCTGATTTACAATATTAACACCCGGCACATCCAGGAAAAGCAGCCTGTGCTCATTGTGGCAGAGGGACATGTCAGAAATGCCACTCGTGGTAGTAAAGGTGGTTATGGCTGCTTCATTTTTGAGAAAGGAGGCAATCCTTAGTTTCAGGACTCTCTGGTCTGCATTTGCAGCAAACCCTGTTCTCTCTTTTGAAATCTTCCCCTTTCCTGCCTCAACCCAGACACATGTTCACTCTGAGTGCATGGGACACACTGCGCTGCCTTCAGCAGGACTGACCACGCACACCATGTGCTGCCTATAGTACATTTGCAGGGCTTTTTCTGTTTAACTTTTAAACTGGACTCATATGAGACTCTCCCCAGCCAGACACCTCATTAAAGCTGACAGATTTACAATCCCCAGCTTGCAGTTTCTGGACTGTGGGTGGCCTTGGCCTTGGCCAACTTGCGAAATTTTGCATGCCACCATTTTCCAGTTGTAGAGTAGAAAGAAGAAGAATCCTCCTTACCTCCCATACACAGCCTTGCTGCTCAGAATAAAGCACTAATATTTCAAAGAGGACCTGCCTGTTATGACATGCCCCTCCACTGATCATGACAATGGAACCCCAACCACAGCTGGGGTTCCTAATAAAAATAAATAAGTGCTGCTGTTGTAAAAACAAATAAATAACACTAATAACTTCAGAAGAATTCTGTCAACACAGATGATGGGCAGGGCTGTCAGAGTATTTATTTACTGCATTTCCAGAACTTTGCTGTTGACCTTTTACCTTCTAGAAACAGTCATGCTACAGAAACCTCCCTGAAGAACAGTCTCTGTCTCCCCACACAAACAGCTGAGAACTCTCTGGAGAGCTGCTAGTGAGATATATGCACTGTCTGTCAGTGGTGAAGGAGTCAATTCAACCCCATGATTCAAACAAATGCGCTTTAAGAGCATCTAATGTTTATATTGGCTTTGTGTCTGCAACGCTATTTTGAGAATGGTCTGCCTAAGGCATTTTTCTCATTTCCAGACTGAAAGGTACTTTAATGGGGCCATGCCTGCAATGGTTTAGTTCCTGTCTTGGGCTCCTTGCCGAGGCTTCCACCTGCCTGTTTAATGGCAGAGCTTTTCAACTGCTCTGCACGGGGTGATATCTGGACTTCAAGGGTTCTGCAATGATGGTGCTGCCTGGTATCGTGTGCTGCACCCTCCTCATGTCCCCAGGCTAAGAGCAATCAGACCTAGGCAGAGCTGGGAAGGAGTAAGAAAAAGCAATATTTACACAGTAAACTTTCCAAGCATTCAGGAGAGAATGGCTTGCAGATGTATATGTTTAAATGACATTTACACTCCCATTGTTTCCTTTAACTTGGTGCTCATCTTACTCTGGGCTTCTTGGGATGAAAAAAACAATACTGCTGAGAGCCGTGCTCTTGGTGAGAAATAACACCCTTCCCCTTCCCTCTCAGATGTACTAAGTGCTAAGAAAAAAAAAAATCAGCATTGTAGAATTGTGTGTTTAGTGGGGAGGCCTCCCTTGGACATATGAACTTAAGTCAGTTGGGCCCTCTTCAGCCAGAAGAGCAAGCAGAAGACTTCAGGAACCTGGTACAGGGGTTCAGAGCAGAGCTGGCCCAGCATTAGAAATCATCCACTCCAAGGCTCCAGAGAGAAGGTCAAAAGTAAGGAAATCTCAACACAATGTAATATTCAGGCCCGGTTTCCCCTTGGCAATGGCATACAGCTGAACCAAACCTTCTATTAATTCTTTTTTTTATGAACTGGGAATCCAAGATTTATACACATATACATTATATACATTTTTCCTTCCCCAGCAATCTTGGTCATACCTAATGCTCTAGGCTAGTCAACAAACAATGGTATCTTACATTTCTGGTAGTCAGCAGACAAAATAAAAACCATTAAGTTTTTCAATTGTTGACTGCTTATTTTTTGAATACCTCTGTGGATATGGGACATTGCAGTTAATGTAAGTCACATCACCCTGACAGTGGGCCAAGCACCAGGAATCAGCACTGCAGGCAGCAATAACTCACTACTGAATGCCAATGCTGGAGTTAAGGGCTGTTTTCTTACACATATGCAGCCAGGAGGGCAAGGGGAAATGCCATCAGACACTTCCAGTTTCCTCTGTGTTAGTGTTTTCATTCTACATAAATAACTCATATGCGAGGGCTGACAATCAGCAAGTGAAAATCAATACTTAAGCAAAGGTCACTAGGAAAACCTAATGCTACCTTTTCCATAAATAATTAGGATGTTGTACAGCCACTCAAAGTCCAGTCTATCATTCACCCAAGCCAAGGACTAGAGACTTTTGCAGGCTTTGCAACACCCTTGCCATTAACATCTCCATACAAAAATTCTATTTAATTTACCCAGTAGTCCCTTCCCAGATGCAATGATACTTTGGCATCCCACTCTGCAACATCTCTATTTTTGATTTTCTGTCTTGGAAATTGGTTTTGTGGTTGAACCACATATTTTTTTCACTTCCTATGACTGACATATGATCTGAGTTTGGCTAGAGGAAAGGGACATTCTGCATAACACATCATGAAGAGAAAACCTGCCCTGGACAAGGAATTTGTATGGACTTGGTCTGACTAGTAAAGAAGGTGAGGATGAAAACATATGACATGTAAAGAAAGAGCCCTATGAGATTAATGGGAAGGCAGGAGGGGAGATCAGATGTCTATCACAATGCAGTCCTCCACCTGCGGCACTTTGCACTCCTTGCGGTTTTGCTGAACTGACAATCTGCACATCAACCCCATCTGAAATACCTTGGAACCCCAGAGGTCACCTGGGCACTGCCCCGCCAACAGAAGGTGACAGGTCACAGCCCACAGTCCTGCTCCAGCTGAAGAGTGTGAAATAAGGGCTGAGGTGCCTCCTCCCACAGTGACAGGTGGGATCTGTCTGTCCTGAGACAGAGGGTAAGTGATCCTGCTGGTATGTCCAACAACACAGCTCCTGATGCAGCCTGCTCCTCTTGAAATGGAAATCATTGCAGAATTACATCCCAGAAATCCATAAGTACTGATTAAGTACAAATTGGTGCATGATTACAAACCAAAATATGACCAGGACCTGT